ATAGCTTCTGGTTGAGAGATGGGGGCATGTGTCCCTTTCTTCTAGGAGCCCTATCTTGCACAGACCTGTGAGGTCCTGTATATGCTGCCTCCGCCTCTGCTTTCACAGGTGCATCAGTCTTGTGTTCAGACAGCCTTGTTTTCTTGGTGCCCTTTATCTGCTCTGGCTCCTACACTGTTTCTGCCTCCTCTTCCTGAGCCCCGAGGGGAGGGATTTAGTGGAGACAAATTTAGGGCTGAATATTCCAAGGTCTTTGCATATTGTTTGCCTGTGGGTCTCAAAAGGCTAGATATTAAGAAAACAACCTAATTAAAATGTTTTTTAATTAAATCATATTTGAAGGAAAATGGAGCTGGAAATAAGAGAAATAAGTCACACATGAATACCACACCGTTCCTTTTTTTAAAATTTCAGTTTATTTTCTTTACATCCCAAGGGTGTCCCCTGCCTCCTCTCCTCGCAGTCCCTCTCCTTCCCTCTTCCCCTTCTTTTTCCCCCTTCCCTTCTCCCTTTCCCCCAAGAAAAGGGGAGCCCCCCCTGCCCAATATCAACCCTCCCAGCACATCAAGTTACATCAAGACTGAGCATATCCTCATCCCCTGAGGCCAGGCAACGCAGCCCTACCAGGAGGAAGTGATCCAAATGCAGGCAATGGAGTCCATGTTAGAAACAGCCTCTGGCCCCCAACCTCCACTTGTCAGGAGCCCCATATGAAGACCAAGCTGCCCATCAGCCATGTGTGCAGGGTGCCTAGCTCCAGACCATGCATGCTCTTTAGTTGATGTCTCAGTCTCTGAAAGTCCCCATGGGACTGGGTTAGTTGTCTTTGTTGGTCTTCTTGTGAGGCTCCTGTCCACTCCAGGTCCTTCCATCTTTCCTCCAACCCTTCTAAAGGACCCCCAGAGCTTCAGCCCACATTTGACGGCAAGTCCCAGCATCTGTCTTGATCTGCTGCTGGCTGAAGCCTCCCAGATGACCGTCAAGTTAGGCTCTGTCAAGTTAGGCAAGTTGTTCAGTTGAAAAAGTTATACACTAAAGGGACAATACAATACATACAATGTGCACAGAAATGGAAAGCCATAAAATTGAGACTATCAGTGAAAGGTTTCTTCATTATTCATTTCTATTATTACAAAAAAAATGATTATTGTTAAGGAGAAGAAAGAAAATTATCCATTAAGGAAAGGGATGTAAAAGCAATATAATAAATATGGCAAGGGGCAGGATGGGGGGGCGGTGAAGTATAATAGGAACACACCTGACGGAAACTCACAGAACCTAAGAAAGGGTTCAACAGGCAAGAGTACTTGCCTCCAAGCCTGAGGAACCCACATGGTGGAAGCAGACTGACTCCCACAAACTGCCCACTGACTTCTACATTTGGATGAGGTGCTTGTAAGCACACATAATATCGACAGAAAATGGATTCCTAATCCAGGTCTAGAGGCACAGGCCTGGAATCCCAGCTACTCAGGAGACCAAGGTGAGAGGGCAGCAAATTCAAGGACTGCCTGAACTACAGAGTGAGTTCAAGGCCAGCCTAGGCAACTTAGGAAGATGCTGCCACAAAAAAAAAAAAAAAAAAAAAAAAAAAAGCAATAGAAAACAAACCAGTGCTTAAGAGTGTGGGGAAGATGAGTGTACAGCTCAGACTTGGGACACTTGCCGGTGTACATGAGGGCCTGGGTTTAATCTCCGGCACTTAAAGTAACAAAGAATAGCAACAGTCAATTTTTTATTTTATTTTTTATTAATTACAGTTTATTCACTTTGTAGCCCAGCTGTAGCCCCCTCCCTCTTCCCCTCCCAATCCCACTCTTCCTCCCTATTCTCCACCCATTCCCTTCCCCCAGTCCACTGATAGGGGAGGTCCTTCTCCCCTTCCATCTGACCCTAGCCTATCTGGTCTCTTCAGGACTGGCTGCATCATTTTTCTCTGTGGCCTGGTAAGGCTGCACCCCCCTGAGGGGGAAGTGGTCAAAGAGCCAGCCACTGAGTTCATGTCAGAGACAGTCCTTGTTCCCATTACTGGGGAACCCACCTGGGAGACTGAGCTGCCATGGGCTACATCTGTGCAGGGGTTCTAGGTTATCTCTATGCACGGTCCTTGGTTGGAGTATTGGTATCTGGGCCCAGATTTTTTGGTTCTCCTTGCTCTCCTTGTGGAGCTCCGGTCCCCTTCAGGTTTTACTATCTCCCCCTTCTTTCATAAGATTCCCTGCACTCTGCCCATAGTTTAGCTATGAGTCTCAGCATCTGCTTTGATACCCTGCTGGATAGAGTCTTTCAGAGGCCCTCTGTGGTAGGCTCCTGTCCTGTTTTCTTGGCAGTCAAATTTTGAAGATATTTGAGTGCAAGTTAAGGAGTTTGTGTTTGATCCTGAGAGGAGTGGGACACCTCTGAAAGTTTAAAAGAGGAGACTGACTAGATCAGATTTGCATTTTAGGAAACAACGGAGTAGGGGTCAGGCTGGAGAGGCTCTCAGCAGTTGAGAACACTTGCTTCACTCCCAGAGAACCTGGGCTCAGTTCCCAGTACCCACTTTGGGTGGCTCAAAACCTCTTGTAACACCGGTTCCAGGTGATCCCACGGCCCCTTCTGGCCTCCTTAAGCCCCTGCACACACATGATACTCACACTCACACACACACATGCAAATAAACAGATCAAAAAGAAAAAAATGTCAAAGAGGGATGTTTGGATTATCGTGAGGTTGCAGGCCTTTCGGAGATTGAAGGACACAGATTACAGAGCAGACTCTACACAAGATGTCAGCACGTTTGATAAGACTTGATCACTGATCAAAGGTGGTGCGTGACAATAAAGTCAAGAACGACTCTCCATTGGCCAGTGATGTATTCCCTTCAGTGAGAAAGGGAACACAAGATAAAAGACTATAAGCAAAGAATTGGTTGGGGCGGGGAGGAGACTGGAGCTTTTAAAACTGGAGCTGTGTGATAGAAAAGGAATTTTCCCCTTAGGTATTTCTTTTTCCCACTCACAAAGATCGAGCCTGCGCCAGCCTTGATCTAAGTGCTTTGATTCTTCACTGTCTCTTGCGCCCTCTGCTTCTTTATCAATACAAATATTTAAATGTGGCAATGCAAAGTTATTTTTAACTCTTTTCTCCTTTTAATTAACCGCTCCAGCCCCTTGGGGCAAAGAGGCTCAAATGAGACACTTCGGCCACATACTAACATAGCCAAGTTATGCCAGGCACAAGAAACACTTGCTGGAGCCCATACCTTAGACCAACACTTCTCAACCAGTGGGTCTCGCCTCCTTGGGGTGGAAGGATTCTTTCCCAGGGGTTGACCATCTGAAAACACAGGCATTTACATTACAACGCATAACAGTAGGAAAAAAAAAAAAAAAACAATTACAGTTACCAAGTAGCAACGAAATATTTGTATGTTGAGGGTCACCACAACATGAACTGTATTAAGAGGGCAAGACGTTAGGAAGGTTGCGAACCACCGTTGTAGATCTCTGAGCAGGTGAGTGGGATGCTGGGGGGAAGGTAGAGGGTAATAAAAGGATTAGGCAGGAGAGGACAGTTGTCGATGGGAGGTGGGGAGCTTTGCGGCTTGGTAAGAAAACAGACGAAAAGGAGCCCCGAACGTTTCAGATGCCCCCCGCAGCTCCACGTGTGTCCACGACTGGGTGGTTGGAAGATTCTTGGTTACAAGCTAGGCCTGTTTTCTCCCACAGAGTAGGAAAGGCGTGTAAGAGGTTGGTGTATGCAGTCCAACTTGACACGAGTTTCAGGAGCGCACGGCGCTGGAGTGTGACACAAGTCTTTCCCGGATCACGTGTCTCGGGTTCCGAAGATCCCACACACACACCCTCGAGCTTGCGCATACTCTCCTGCTGCCTGCAGAACTCGAGGCTTGTAAGGGATTTTTCATTTTTCAGAACCTCCCTCAAGCTTGCCACCTCCAAGAAATCATAAAGCCGCCCTTCTCCACCACACATGGGCCTCCACATCTGAGACCCTCAGAGCATTCTAGAGTGCCCCGTTTGGGCCTAAGATAGACTGATATTATATATTTATTTCTACATACTCCTCTGTCCTGGGAGCGCAGAGACAATCTCTTTTTCTCACCAGAGTCTTTAGTGCCTCGCTCAGCATTTGGCAACAAAACTTTTCCCATTGTAGGTCAAAAGCTGGTGACCCAGAATGTTCTCTCCTGGGAGGCTTTTGACCCTGTCAGCGCCTGTCCACAATACAATGATTGATAAGCCCCTAATTAGTGAGCCAAGAAGCCCTGAGTTAAGAAGGGCTTGTTTAACCTGCAGTAAACATTCTTCCCACTAGGCGTCTCTTTTTTCCACACCATTGTAGCGAAGCAACAGCACTTTTTTTAAAATCATAATTCAGCCTCCTATCCCATTATGATTGGCAGGAGCTGGTCAGAAATGCAGATTCACAGGCCCCACCTGAGACGAACTGAGGACAATTCTTCAGTTTATCAAGATCTCTGGGTGATCTAGCATCCCGTAAGTACTGACGCTATGGTTTCTACAATACATTTCTTCCTCCCCCTTCCTCCTCCTTCCACTCCTCCTCCTCCTCCTTTTTCACCTCATTCATTTTTTTAAGCTTTATTTTATTTTAAATGTGTATGAGTGTTTTGCTGCACGTATGAATGTGCACCATATGCATGCCTGATGCCTGTGGAAGTCAGAAGAGAGAGTCAGATCTGGGGCTGGCTTCATGGATTGCTGTGAGCCACCATGTGGGGCTGGGAGCTGAACTTAGATCCCCTGCAAGAACAGCAAGTGCTCCTAACCATTGAGCCATCTTTCCATCCCCCTAGATTTCTAATCTGAAAAAAAGTGGAAAACACTGACGAATGAACACCTTCCTAAATGGCCCTTTTCACATGAGAAATCCCTACCTCGGCACTGACAAACAGAAGCCTTAGAACAAAGTTTAGATTTGTTGGTATTTATTATGAATATAAAATATACATACAACACAATATACATTTACACATTTACAAGTGCATTTCCTTTCAACTTTTTTCCCCCCATGGAACTCAGTTTTTCGTGGGCACCCTGCCCACTTCCTCCTGCTCCTCCTCCCTGCACTTACACTCTTGACATTCTCTTCACCTTGGGACACTGTGTGACTTGGTAAACAACCAAATTAAATCAAACTTATGGCTGAATGGCGGGCCTCAGTGTCTGTCCTGAAGGATCGCTTCTGTCCCCTTCTGCATTACCTCAGGCCTTCTGTTGCTTCATTCATTCAGCAGTGAGAATTCAGAGAAGGGCTGCAACGATCACCCTTGCTTTGAAAAATACCTTCAAGAGCTTTATTCGAGCGAGGACACAAAAGAATGCAATTAGACATCATTCACCCACATGGCTTCAGATCTCTGGGAAGACTGAATGGTACATACAGAGGAAGTTTTGCTCTCCCCACCCCCCAAAGATGCTCATGAAAGCCTGAATACTAGTGTTCTGGAGCAAATAAATAAATAAATAAATAGGAATAAATAAAGGTGGAGAGCATCACTAAAGGAAATATTAACACCTATCACCCAGCGCTTTCCTGAAGCTTCCGTAGGTATATCTCCCTAGTCGGCTGGCAAACAAAAGCTGGATTGTGTAGCTGGTTGCTCTTCTGTTCGGGCCATGCTTTGAAAACACCTGTGAACAGCTCCTGTTGAGTCTCTTTCCTTAGAATGTAGCTATGCGAGAGGTTTTGTAGGCAGTCTCCTTGAGGCTGTCAAATATTGCTTTGGTTCCATTCTGCCAGTGCAATACCAGGTCCATGGGGGTCTTTCCAGCCTACAGAAGAAAGGGAAATTTGACTTCCAGGTGGGAGGCACCTGTTAGTTCCCACTCTGTAACTATGCTGATGAAGTATATTATCAAAGCATACGGTTTTTACTATGAGTGATCCACGGTTTATCTAAACTATCGTGTCACTGCTTTTCATGTTATTATTATTATTTTTTTTTTTTTTGGCTTCTCCCTCTACCATGCATGGAACTATCCAAGGTATTGGTAAAAACTCCTTGTCCCTAGGTACTAAAGTAACACCCCAAGCCACTGTGAAATTCAAAACTATCTGTTAGTATTTCCAGGACCTTGCAGAAAGAACTCTGAGGACGCACTGTCTCTCCTGAGCCCATGGATCTAGAAGTCAGGATGGTAAGTACACTGCCACCAAGCCTCGGGCCAGTCAGTTCCCTCCGGCTGCCGACTGCACCACAGGTTTTTCAAATTTTTCCCTGGGGCTTCTTATACAGCTTGCCACGTTCTTTGAAACCGATGTTAGTAACATAAATAAGTAATTTTTCAGGCCGAAATTTGGTCTCCCTGATGCACAGTTCTCAAGATATCTGCACATATTAAACCGCAGCACTTTTCAATTCTTCTCGTGAGACAGGAGAAGTCCTAAGCATTTCTATCTGCATTCAGCCCAGAAGTGCTCCGGATCCCAGAGGTTGTGTAGGCTGGCAGCTTTGATATGCTAATCAACACAGAGACTTGGTTTTGCTCAGGTTTAGAGGTGGGGGTTGGGGGAGAATGAGAACCCGGAAAGGCTTGTGACCCACAATGCCTCAAGGTACTGGGCTGGAGATGATCCATGCACACATGCACAAACAATAGTAACCACTCATTGATGTCATTCGTGTGCCCACCTGGCCCTAGTGACTATATGCGTACCATTCATTTCTGCTTAGAGTCTTCCACTGTTTGTAAAAATAAATAAATAAAATAAAATAAAATAAACTCTTATCTTCTGCAGCTATGGGAGATGATGTTTGTCTGGGAATCGGAGCCATGAAGGAAAGTTGCTTACACTCCCTGAATACAGATGAAGTTAAATTAACATGTACTTATGCAGAAATTCTAATGTAGGAAATTATTTTGAGACGTGTGCATATAAGTCAAATTGGAAAATGAATGGTAGTTATCTTTTTTTAAGAAAATCAGAAAATGCACGGTGACGCTTAAAAGCTGTGGCAATATCTTACACTGTAAGACTACTTGGAACTCCCCAGGCAATACTGATTGATTTCAGTCTCTGGGTGACTTGGGGTTATTTTGGGAAAGGTTGGTGTATACGTTTCTACCCACTGCGGGCTCTGGTCTGCCAGGTATAAGCAAGACAGATTGGAATTACCCAATGTGCTTTTTATTTTTGTTTTTTTAAGATTTGCTTATGTATTGCATGTATATGAGTCCTCTGTTTGCATGTATGCCTGCACACCAGATGAGAGAGCATAAGTTCCCACTGTAGATGGCTATGAGCCACCATGTGGTTGCTGAGAACTGAACTCAGGTCCTCTGGAAGAGCAACCAGGGCTTTTGCCCACCGAGCCATCTCTCCAGCCCCACAACGTGTATTTTAAAGGTGAACAATTTGACCATCTTTTATTCAAGACCAACCTTTCAAAGAACTATTAGGCTCCAAGGCCTGATCAGAAGCCTGAGTTTCCTTCATGTCTGAACCTGTAACCCGAGTTCTTGCCAAGTGTCAACTTCTCCTGGAAATAGACTCATTTGAACCATCAGTGTATCTCAAAGGTTGCTACCATGGGAATAATACTTTCAAATAGTTGAGAAACTCCGGAAACAAGGAAGCCCACAAGTAGAGGCCTTGGTTCGACTACTTACGCAGTTCTTGACGTTGAGATCCGCCCCGAAGGTCATTAAGAGTCGGATCATCTTATAGCGATTCAGCCTCACGGCGTCATGCAGCGGGGTGTCTCCTTCCTAGAAGGAGAAGCAGGTGTGGTAAGTGGGAGGCCAGGAGGTGGTTCCCAGCAGGCACCCCAGCTTGCCTGGGTGACTTCAAAGAAGCTGATGGTGGCTCAGCCTTGTCAGCTACTCACTCTGTCCTTGGCGTTGAGATCTGCCTCACAGGCGATGAGGTGCTCGGCGCACTCGTAGTGGCCAGTCCTCACCGCCACGTGCAGCGCTGTGCTTAGCAGCTAAAACAGCAGAAAAGAACGGAGCGGGTGAGAATGGACACCGCCTGGGACCTCAAGGCATGTGCAAACGGGGTGCGTGGCTGAGGTGTCCACAGAATAAGGACCAGCCGAGGACCCTCCGGGCATGACCCGGAAAGAAACAGAAGCCTGAGGAAGGGCAGGGCAATTACCTTGTCTCGGGCACTGATTTTGGCGCCTTTCTTCAGCAGCAGTTTCAAGACATCCGGGTTTCCTCCACGACATGCCCAGTGGATGGCTGTAGATTCAAGCTATTTGGGAAAGGGAAACAAGACAAGACATTGTAATGGAGAATCTTGTATGGGGTTGGGGGTTGGTCTGATCCCAGTCCAGAATATCTGAACCTGGGGCTGACACCTCACTCCAGGTCCCTGTTTTTCTTTGGCCATCTCCTGCTGGCTCTGCGCTGTTGTTTACACAAGCACAGCTAGGGACACTGTGGTCACTGTCCACTCTTTAAAGAGACTGTTACTCTCTGCTTTGCTTGGTGCATCTCTGGACTTCCAGAATCCAAACTTAGGGGTTCAGATGTCTCTTCATCCAAAATTTCTTATTATTAGTTTCTTAAATTTTTTTTTTCAATATTTTGTCCTTTGATTCAATTCAGGCTCAGTTCTTTGGATTTTTTTTTTTCCTTTTCAATTTTACCATAATGTCAAATAGAGCTGCATAAATAAATGGAGCATTTTTCCAGTTCTGTCTTCAGGGTATAAAGTATATTGTATACTGGTCTTTACAGAAATCGCAGCCGCTGAATTGTTAAGGTGTGACAGCAGCCCAGCTCCAAATCTCATTGGCGGCAATTGGCATCCATCATATAAAATAGGCAGCTAGGACATTCTCATGCATTGCTGGCACAGAGGGGCCAGAAGCAGGCTGCACTGTCTGTTGGAAGGAGCGAGGGAGCGGGGTGTTGAAAGGCCAGGGATGCTACTGAGTTGATCATGACCCAAACCTCTGGTGAGGTTACTGAATTCTGCTCTACAACTGCCTCTTCCTCCTCTTCCCTGCAACACTCCTCTCCTTTTCTGTGTGTGTGGAAAATACTTTCCAGATGACCTCGTGTCATCGCCCACTTCCCCCTTTGTTATGGAGAAATGGGCTTTTGACTGGTTTTCTCAGATCAATTTTCAATCCAATTGGGGCAGCTTCTCATTGGACGTTTTCCTGAGCTTTTCAGAGATGGTCTGCTTATTTTGGCTCATTTCCAGGCAAAGAAATATATTTACCATATCGCGGAATTCAATCTGGGCCCCAGCCTCCATTAACTTCTCCACAATTGCCAAGTGTCCTTCCAAGCATGCTCTATGGAGAGCAGTACGTTTATACTGTCAGAGATTAAAAGGAGAGATAGCCGTGTGTGTAAAAATGCGCATAATCCTTTAAGAGCTATGAAGCCAGGACTATGATGACCTAACTGATAAAAAAAAAAAAAAAAAGCCAGCATTTCTTTATGAATCTGAACACTGGGGCTCACTGGAATTGCAGGATCAGAATAATTATCTGACAACTAGAACCCAAGCTTCCTGTCCTAGACCCTTCCTAAGTGCTAAAGGCCAAGACAGAGGGGTGTGGACTTCAAACCTCAAAAACTATCTCAATTCTGAGACCTCCCCATCTGTATTCGCATGTGCCAAGTGCATCGATAGTTCTCTTCCATGCAGAATTGTTGCTATATTGAATATCAAAAACCACTAAAGTCATTTAAAAAAGTAAATAAAAAACAAAACGGAAATTCTGCTTTGGTATGAGCTGCCATATCAGTTCACCAAAGAAGCAATACAAATTCGAGATTTTTGACAAGTTGCTTTATATTAATGAGCCATTAGGCTGATAGAATGAGACTGGGCTTACAGAGGAACTGAGGTTCCCAATCAAGTAGCCAAATGGCAGAACTAGACTGGGATTTCCACCTTCCCCTTCTACTGTTGGGGTATTTGGCTGTGCTCAAAGATACTGCTAATAATATCTTTGGCCAGCAGTAATTTTTTTTTTCTCCTTGCCTTTATGGAAGTCTATCCCAAGGATCTAAGAAGTTAACGATGAACTGTCTTCATATAAACCAGACAGAATTATAAGAACAGGAAAAACCCCATGCAATCCATCATGCTAATCTAGTATTGGGAGGTTGTGGGGCAGGGCAGAACAATGAACAGCTGGAGAAACTTTTAGGTGGAAGACATCGAGACTGTAATTTGCCAGCCTACAGGAAGGCAGGAGACTTACCTCATCACACACATCAGGGCTGTTCTTGTCTGACAGGAATTTCTCAACGACTGGCAGTCTGTTCTCCAGTGCAGCTTTCAGAAAGCTCGGCACATCCACAGGTTCAGTCTAAAGTGAAGGAGGAGGAGGGAGAGGAAGAGACAGACAGTGGAGGTGGAGGCAGAGGAAGAGGGTGGTAAAGAAGTGGAGGGGAAAGTGGAAGGGAACAATGAAAAGGAAGATTGAGGGGGAAAGAGAAAGGGGGAAAGAAAAGGAAAGTGGTCATGAGCTTTGCAGTGGCCTTCCCTCCATGAGGTTCACCCCTGAACCTCAGCCCTGGAAAACCAAACTGTCCTTACAATAATTTCAGGTTCTGGTTCCTTCACAACGGGGACTTTAGTTTTCTTGTATTTTTTTCTTTTCTTCAGTTGAATGATTAGTTCAAGGTCTTCTAAGTTTTCAAGCTTTGATCTTTGTTCTAGTTTTTTCTTTTTGAGCTAAAAAGGAAAAGAAATGAAATATGGTGAGTTCTACCTACAGTGGTAGCTAAACAAAACTACAGTCTGGGCAAACTCTGTGAGTGGTTTGAGCAAAAAGGAAATTTAAAACACTTTAAAGTAAGTGTCTGACTTTGGTGGGTTTTTTTTTTTCAATTAAAGTTATTGGGGTCTAATTTTAATCCAAGTCATAATTACTGTCTTTTTTTTTGTAGAATTAGCCCTTGACTAATTGAATGGAGACATAAGGTAGTCTCTTGGTGATCATTTTGTAATTGGCACCGTAAGTCCCAGATTTCTATAGAACTCATTTTCTCATTCTGAAAAACTAAAGTATGTTTTACCAAAGGCCAAAAAATAAATATAAAGTTCTCAAATATCGATGCCATTTTCTCTCAAGCGGCCCACTATTCAGTCTCTGAGGCAGAGATCGTTACTAGCTATGTTAGTAAGTAACATCTTATGTTAGTAAGATATAAAAATTCAATAAATTAATAAATAAATGTCAATACAAAGAGCAAACTTATTCTATGATCATGTTATCAAAAAGAACAAATCTCCTTGGCTCAACATTAAATTCACAGTTTGTGGCATTGGGGCTTCCCTGGTTACCATTGTCTTTTGATCAGAACATGGCCATAGCAGATCAAATCATTGATTCAGAATCCAGAGATCATGAACTCAACCAGGAATCATTTCCCAAGTCATTTTCTTGTGTACTCTTTCTTTGCATCATGTGGTTCAAGTTTGGTGAAGAAGCATCTTTAGAATGGTTTTATTTATTTCCCTCTCTCGTCCCTTCTTCCTCAGGGACCTCCATACCCCAGCCCCACTGGTAGGTTCCATGAAAGGTCCTCACCTCTGCCTCTCGCAGTTTCTCACTTTTCCGTTGTTGCTCCTCCAGGTCCACACGGTGGGCTGGAAGTGTCTTCAAATCCTCTTGTTTCTCCAAAGCAACAGCAGCTTCATATTCTCCATTTCTGAAATCCCCAGGAAGGAATTCCCCTGCGGCCCCATTGCCGTTCTTCTTCCCTGTTACCTGTGTGTGAAGAGGATGGTAAAGTCACAAGCAATGCTCCCCATCCTAGGACCACTCTCCACAAAGGATGCTGCAGGTCACCAGTCCTTCCTGGTGATGACAGCCACCTCCAAGCAGAGTCAGAAACATAGCTACAGACATCCCAAGGTAACCTTCAGACACCTACCTGTCTTACTCTCTCATTTAAATCGAGGCATCCATTGGGTTGGCATACATAAATTTACTTTTAACCCACACACGACCAGCTTCTCTCAGGAAACTCACTAACCCCCGCCCCATTCATATTTCAAGTCTTTCACTTTAGCCTCAAGTTATAAAGTGCCCAGACATTTATTTTTGCAATAAACCTACCCAATATCACGATAACTACATGATTGCGCACCATAGTAATAAAACCCATGAAGAAGACAATAAACAGGAAAAATGCAGAAGGGCATCACTGTCAGCTCTGGGTATTTTCCCACTTCCACTTATTCCATCAAATAAACAAACCCTGTCCCATGCTTGACATTTGCAGACTTCCCTTACAGTATTCCTGAGAAAGAAAGGGCATCTAAACTTTCAAATAAAAGCTAAGATGAACCAGGTTTTGCCAAGTTTAAAAAAAAAAAAAGACATTTTACATACCAGCTCTTCTACTCTCAGCACCATCATGTTGTCAGCAGTGAGCCCGTGTGTTTTTCTGTCTTGTGGATGCACCCTTGGAGCTGGCCCTGTAGAGCCCCTCCACACCAGCTGGTTATATAGCTGTGGCCGGGTGAGATAATCTTCCAACCTGGGAAGCCAAATCACACCCCTACCCCCACCGATGGCCAACTAAGAGGCAGGTGAATTTTCATTCCAGACTCAGTGTCTGGGAAGCCCAAGGGGGAGGAGATGACAAGTTGGCCACAGCGTGTGCGAATCAGGGAGAAATGTGAGAGGGTCATTCCTTTGGCAGTGACCGCACTGCTCAGCAATGCGAGTCATCCTACTTATCGGGAAGCCAGGGACAGCTGTCTGTTCATATTGCACCACATCGCTGCTCTTTTTCCTTCTTTGTCAGCTTTCACATGACTAATCTATCAAGAAAATGCAAGCACTGTGCATCGCACTCACAGCAATATCTTTCTGATAACTGGACTTATCAGCACTCCAGTTGGGAGGGGGGAAGTGTTACTTTAGGACATCCTATTCCTGTGGATAAACAGCCCGAGGGGAAGGAGATGGGCCTCGGTGCCGCTTGTCTATATCTGTTTGGAATTCTCTGGAGTGATGTCTGGGGCTAAAATGGCCCCATGACATGCCACCTTACCATCATTACAAGAAATTGAAAGCATTCAGTAATGCACTTTTACTTCATGGTGTCACTGGCCATAATTAGCACATGGGCATGCTTCCTGTGTTCTAAAACAGAAAGCTAATCAGAGTGTTTGCCTCAAAATGAATCAGAGTGGTCCAGAAACAGATATGAGGCCAGCTATTAGCAGAAGCACAACCTCAATGCTTTCGGTAAAGTTTTCAAATGTAGTGGGGAAAGCTTGCAAGAGCCTGAGGAAGGAGATCGGAGGGCTCGGGACAGAGCATCTGCCAAGATGCTCGAAGTTATCATGTTCTATCCCTAACACTAAGACAAAAAGGCCCCAAGCTTTGCTCTTGAGAGAGGCAAAAATACTTGTTTCTGGCTTCTCGTTGCTGAGATCTTAAATTATGAAAAAAATACAAATATTTAGGTCTTTTTATACTTCAAGGGAAAGACTCTATCTTCAAAGCCACTTACAAGATGTTTTTATTTTTGATGAAAGAGGAGTGAAGGAGGGTGTCGGCATCAGAGGGAGGTGTTAATTAGGATGTTCTGTTTGCTAAGCTGAACGTTGTATGACTGTCCCTCCTCAAGCTCATAGAACATGGCTGCTCTTCTCATCTTCCCCTCCCCTTAAAATGTTTGCTAATAAATTGTGTTTCTAGAACCTTCATAATGAGACATTGCCCTGAAAACCAACACACTAAGACTTTGACCTCCATGGCTTGTCCTCTCTTAAGGTTCTGTCCTGTCTGTCCTGAGAGGACAGGTCTCTCCCTTTCTGTGGTTAACACTGTTTTCTTTGGTCCCTTGAAGTGAGAAGCAGCTGTGTCTGCTTTTCTCATCCCTGTGGCCTTGTGTTACAAGTCTGACTCAGAGCTAATAAGAGGGTCTTGGGAGTGTCTCTTTGAGGAAGGACTCTAGGCTGTTGAACAGTCTTGAATCCTGAGCTCCCAAGTTCAAGCAAGGCTTGAAGATAGTGAGGCACAAAAGCCCTGGGCAACTTGGTAGAGACACACAGCCAGACAATGAAAGTGAGTCTCGGTTCACACATGAGGAGCAGAAAATCATGAGACCAGATCAGATTTCCTGGCACAGTTCCCACTCAGATGCACTCAGAACCCAAACAAAACCAATTAGATGCTCTCTCTAAGCATGTCACTTTGAAGAAGGCAAAATAGGTAGGAAGGCTTTCCCAAACCTTTCCCATGGCGCCACTCAGGTGGTTCCTCCTACAGCAGTGCTGGGACCCTTTAATGTAGTTCCTCCTGTTGTGGCGACCCCCAACTATATTATTATTTCATTGCTACTTCATAACTGTAATTTTGCTACTGTTATGTATCATATGTGGATATCTGATATGCAGGAAATCCGATATGCCGCCCCTGTGAAAGAGTTGTTTGACTCCCAGAAAGGTGAGAAGTGCTGCCCCAGAACAGGCTGATCCTGAATGGGAAGCTCCAGGAAATTCTTATGAACACTTTGTGGAGGACAGGGCTTGAAGAAGTGTTGGAGTGGACAGAACTTCACAAAGGGCATGAACCAGGAAACATTCATGGCTGGCAAAGCCACTGTCAGGCAGACTTTTTCTCTGGGTAGGTTTGTCATTGTTAAAAATAATATTTAATGATTATTAGAAATAAGAGGATCCTCTTTTGATCCTTTGTTCTGGTTTGGTTTTGAGGTTTTCACAGTGCTGGTCATGAACAGAAGGCCTCATGCATGCCTATGCAAGTGCTGTACCACTGAGATATACTTCAATCCCAAGTATAGGGGTTTTTTTTTGTTTTTTTGTTTTGTTTTGTTTTGTTTTTTTTGAGCCTAGGTTCCTAACAACACATAAGAGAAAATTGTATTTTAAAGCATTTGTATTCATCAAAATCAAGGACAAAACTTCTCAACTGGAAGAGAGAAAGCTCCCATCACTTAAGGAGATTTCTCCCCCTAAAAGTTCACATAGTAGATAAAAATCAGAGGTTTGTATGTTTGGTTTTATCACACCTCTGGAAATAACCTTTTTTTTTTCCAAGATGGATTAAAGAAGCAAATCTCTATAGCTGACTCTACAGGCATTTAGCGCCACAATATGAAGCATTTTTGATGAGAACCAGCAAGGGAATGACCCCAGAACTCAGCTTGTGGGACTGTGCAAGCTTTGCCATTCCAATTCTTGGAATTTATGCATTGATGAATGAAATGACAGATGATCCGAATTACAGTCCTCTGCACAGTGTGCAAGGGGGAGAGGCATTCTCGACTGACACCCAGCACCTGAAAGGGGACTCAGATGCCACTCAGGTTCAGGTGCTATATAATTCAACTCCAAGCTAAGTTTGTCTTTTGGCATAAATGCCAAATATTTCATTTACACACATCTTGTTCTATTTTTAATTGCATAGGTAACATGCATATCATTTTAAAAGATCAATAACTTAGAGGATGTTGCTCACTTGAGCTCTTATTAAAGCGTTAATTTGATGTATGACTTTTCCATTTACTAATAGGCCTTGGAGATCATTCTCTACCAGCACAAACAAATCTACCACGTTATTTTAAAGAGCTGGATGATTTGGAAATTCATATCTTATGTGACTACTCTCTTAGGCATAAGCATGACAGATTTTTACAATGGTTGCTTTTATTTGCTATAACTAAAGGCATTTTATAAACCACATCGAATTTTATTGTTATTAACATTCCTTGACCTTAAAAAACCTAACTCAACAGTATAAGGAGAGTCCCAAGGACTGTAGCCAGATTCTGACTTAGAAAACATCTTGTTCTGCTGTAGCATTTAAAATTGTTCCGTTGCCATCCCCCTTATTAGCCTCCAGGTCCCAGCCCTGCTCACCTTCCTTGGCTCAGACAAATGCCCCGAATCCAAGCGTCACAGCCAAGAATGACTCATTGGAAAATGCCAAAGGGAAGTAGGCAAAGTAAACAAACAAGCTTTAAAGTTGTTTCCCTTCACCTGCCAAAGAGGAATGGAACTATTCCTATGTGAACCACATAAAAGTCCTAGGGACATTTTGAGCAGAGCTGTGGCATCCACTGTCAAGGGGCAAGCGTGGAAACTGAAATTCTTCTACCCTGGGCTCTGGAAAGGACTGTCCTGAGGGCACAGAGAAGACTGGAGAACTCCTGACACTAGGTAGGAGAAGGCTGGAAGTCTGATCCCCATGCCTTGATATAGTGTACAGAAAAAAAAAAAAAAATCCCAGACAACCCCCCCCCCCCCCAAATGATACATACAATCTAGAAATGATGCTACAGTCTGGACTGGGTTCATTTTCTCTACTAGTTAAAGAATTAAAAGGAAGAAAAGCACTGACGCTTAGCAAGCTGCAGAAGTCCTCCCACAGACAGAATCGGCAGGTAAGGCGTTTGTCAGGGGTGAGGAAGCATACACATGCAACAGACACACAGAGAACAAGAATAGATAGATAGATAGATAGATAGATAGATAGATAGATAGATAGATAGATA